CTGGTCCTTGCTTGCAAGAAGGTTCTTGTTCTATGTTTGTATCCACAAGGAAAGCCATAAGCTCATCCCTGCTATCAAGGTTGGGTTGTTAAATCTCCTTCAGACCTGCTTTCTTTCTGTATTATATAAAAATTCTATTTTAACTTGAAGTGATGGTGCCAATCGCTTTGAATTCCATCTGTGCCCTTGAGTGCTTGTATTGGATGGTAATCCTGCATGTAGTGTGGTTTTTATTAGTTATTTCTGAACCAAACTGGGAACTTTGGGGCTAAAATGCAGACTCACAACTACATTAAACACAACAAGGTTAGGCCTGTTGTGTGGAGATTGCCCAAGAACACTAAAATGCACTAACTTAACCAAGTTTGTCCAAAGTTAGGAAGCATTGTTGACAAGTGTTGTGTCCTCCAGCTGCCTGGTAGATGGACGATTTGATTCCAACTCAACCTTCTCAATGCCAAGGTTCAGGGATGATGTACTCCAATTCACAGTAGATGTCTTCCGTTTTAGTAAGGACCCCCGAGATCTGGTAAGAGTCCTTCTTCTAAAGCCCAGCTCCTAACGGCCATATTTTTGAAGTTTCACTCTTGGTCATGTCATAAACCTAGGTTGAACCACCTTTTACCTTGTTTCTAGATCTACATCACTTGCCATTTGAAGGTGGCTGCAGCTACTCAGGCTCCTGATGCTGAGAACAAAGCTTGTTCCTTCCATCCAGCTACGAACAGGTAAGCAACCTGACATTCTTACAGGGTCAAGTCATCTGGCTGTTAAGCCAAGTATCACTGTAGGAGGACATTAAGTAGGCTTAGTCAACAGAAATTTGAGCTTGCAACTTAGTTCCTTTGATGTAATTTGTCTGTTTCTTTGCAGAAAAATGTTTTAGATTCATTTTATTTTGGAAAACTTGGTGATTATGTTGTTTTGAGCTACACACCAATAGCTTGGAAATCAGTATCTAACCTAACTGGCTATTGCATACTTTTTTTGACTCCAGGACAGATTAATTTATACACTGTAAGGACCTTCTCAGCTTCCTGCAGTGGTTTGAAGAACATACCTTTCCGTATTTGAACAAGTATTCCATGAATGAATGTCCTGATAGGTGAACCTGTTAGAAATCTCAACTTCCTGAATTTTCTCTTATCCCTTACCCTGTTAAACGACTTATTCAAAAATAAAACAATTTTTTATGTAGGGGTTAGCTATACTTAGTACAAATAGTATAAGGTATTTTGTACATGATAAAGAGTTCTACATAAACCACAATTGGCTGAGTTCATTCCGTACCTTAAGCAGAAACCAACCTAACAAACTTGTAAGCCCAATTGATCTTAGGCTAAGTAAATACTTGAACTTAAGACATCAACTATCAGTAACTTAGAATATAGCCAAGTATCCATCCTTTGGTCTATTAAGAGGGGAAAGTATTTGATACTGGAGGCTTTCAAGAAGACACTGGACTGCCATCTGTCAAAAATGATGTAGGGTCTACTGCCTGGGGGGTGGGGTTGGACTAGATGACCTACTCTGTTCCAATTCTGTTAATCTGACTAAATAAATATTGGTGCACCCTTACAGGAAGTGTATCTCTTTGGCTTTTTTCACCACAGTTGGGTTCCAGTTGAAGGCACCACAGATATTTGCTCTTGCTGTGAAACCAAGAATTGTGTTCGAACTACGGGTCAAGGTAGCAGCCACTTGGACCAATGGGGAAGACGACTGGGCAGAGACGTGGCTGCTAAATTGGGTATGTAATCGAGGTTTGGTAGAGGGGAAAAAGCTATTCACTTGAATGATATTCAGAAGCAGCTGTTCTACTTCTGGAAGTATTACATGAGGGACAATTGTGTCCAATTCTCAGAGATTGATTGGACAAGTCCCTGCAGTTTTCTTGGCAAGAGTTTTCAGAAGGGGTTTGCCACTGTCATCTTCCTAGGACTGAAAGAAAGTGACTGGCCCTGTCAGGATTGCCATCCTGCTACGCCATGTTTTGCTGGCTGACAGCCTGCCATACGCAACTGGGAGGAAGGAGGAACTGTAAGGTTGGGATAAGGGGGAGGTTAGCATGAAGGGAAATAAAACTACACACTATGGGAACGCAGCACCGCGAAACCAGGGATCAAGGGAAAAGTTAACCACATGCTTTTGGCATGAAAAACTCATATCAGGCTTTGGTTCTCTGTAACCACTTGGTTTTAGTAAAGAGCACTTTCCTTAACAATGGATTTGAGAGAGTTTCTTTTCTAACTGACCAAGTTTGGACAGGTCCAAGCCTCAAGGTCACATAAACTAGCTTTGTACCTAAGCCAAGTCTAGAACTCAACAGCCTCCAAGTTTCTAGCCTGATGTCTTAAGTCTTAACCACTACACCAAACTGGCGCTCTCTACATTCATGTAAATGTCTTGTGAATCTTGTTCTTGTGCAGATAAATCGAAGGAGGCCAATGTTGACGTGATGCTCGGTCCCATCCTCATTCTTGACTCGTACATGACTTCCAGAACTCCTGACAATCGAAATAAGTTGGTCTTATCAGCAAAACATGGTACAGTATCACGCTGATTATGGAGTTCAGACATTGTGTTAATCCATGATTTGTGGACTAACCATAACCGGATATATTTACATCGCTTGCTAAATCAGAGGCACACAGCTTTTGTGACCTCAGGACCACAGTAATCCCCAGAGCCTTTCCATGTGATTACAGTTCTTTAATCTGACACTCAAACCATTACTTCCATTGGCTTTAGTATTAACTGCATGAAATTCAGTGAAATATTATATAATTGTTTTACTTGGAGCCAGAAAGATGGACTCAGTGGAAGTCACCCTTTATCCTATCAACAGTAATCTTGTCCAATTATAAATCTGCAAAGAACTTTTGTTCAGACTTTTGACAGGGGCAAATTCTCAGAGCAAAAATTTGGGATAACAGTAACTGTCAACTAAAAAGAGACTTTTGCTTTGAATGAGGGGGACTTGTTGGAGCCCTGACAGTAACCTCAATGGCACTTGCTTGTCATTAAGTTCCATTCTTTGTTTGTAGGGAAGGAAAACCAGAATGTTTAGCTCTTCATTTCCTGCTGTGTATGATATTCCTTACTTTTAATTTTCAGTGCAAAAAAAGCTGTTTAAGAGAATCTGTTCTTCTTCTTTTCAGGCTTCTTCCAATTTCCTTGGATGCTGTTGGGGATCATCTTAATAGCCCTTACTACAAGCTTGGCCCTGACCACTCTAGGAATCTTTTGTACTAGGAAAAGACGTTATAATTCTTCCTAAGTTGTTATGCAGTGTGTAAGGATGTTAAAATAAACAAATCAAGCCTTAACAAAAAACTTGTTTCTTTTTATCCCCTACAACTTGTTCAATAAACAAATATATAACTCTGTTTGCATGGAAAAAATATCTGAAGCTTCAAAATAAAGGTTAGAGGATTTGTGTCTTACTAAGACTGCTCACTTCAAAAAATAATTCTGAATTCTTTTGGACTTCACAAAGCTACCACTTCTCTCTGTTGTTGAGGCAGTGCTTGGTCATCATTCCCCCAACTTCAATTGAACCTTATGTACAAGCACTTCAAAAGTTGCATTCACTTTTAAGAACTCTCATTCAGTCCTGTTTGGGTCCTCTTAAGCTTGTGGTCTAATGTTATGTTGGGATACAACTTGCTTCAAAATTGTTTGATAAATAAGGCCTTGTGTTGAGTTAGTGGCTTAAAATGTCATTTGGATTTCAAGTGCTAGGTATACTCAGCTTAAATCTTTAAGATCAACTCCTAGAATTGCCTGTAAATAAAATACTAACCAATTATCTATGCTGGAAGAATTATCCTTCTGGGTTCAGTTCAACTCTACAGACTGTCCCTAGTCCCAGGTTTGGTTGAGTCTTGCTGGATGATGATGTAATGAAAGGGCTTTGGGCAATTCCTATTATAGCTCTACCTGGAGTAGATCTTTGTTATGTAAAATAGACTGGCCTAGGCCAGAGTAATGGTCCATTAGCAAAGGTGGGGGTGAGCTTCGGCTTCTGAGGTGAGTTCCTGCTTCTGAGTTTCTACTCTTCTTAAGGGAAATATTCTGCCTTTTTTCTGCATATTTCCTAGGATGTTTCATTTTTCTAGGAGCGGGGTGGGTTCTAACTTCCTACATCTGGAAGATGGAAACTGGGTTTTTCTCAATAACAATGCATTGCCTCTCAGCTCCTAACCCCTCAAAATATCAGCTCCTCCCTCATGCCAGGATTTTAATTATTTTTTTTAAATATTGGCCAACCAGCTGCAGTGATTTCTGGGCAGCATGCAGAACTAAACATTTTTTAAAAACCAGCTTAAAATATTAAATCGGATTCATTTTGCAGATTGGGGAGGAGGAATAGAGTGAAAAGCAGAGAAGGGCTTAGACTTCAACATTCCTATGATTTCACCAATGAGGCAGGGCTATGGCAAAACGTTGCCCCTCATTTCAAACAAAAATCCAAGATATAAAAACTGAATAACTTTTGTTTTGTACTCTTATGGGCAGCCAGGCAAAGCCTTCCCAAAGTTCCTTTTATATACTGAATTGGGAACCGAGATGGAAAAGCTGAGGTCTTGAAATGAGCTTGCAAAAGAGCTGATACATGCGTTAGCTCTTTCAACACATGCGGTCCCCACGTTCAACAGAACACGTGTTGCCCCAGCAAGCAACAAGAGCCACTAACGGTCAGCTGACTTGTTCTCGGTCAGCTGATGCAAGGGAAGCTCTTCAGGGATTGGCTAGAAGGAAGGAAGCTGGAAAAACAAGGAAGCTCTTCAGGGATTGGGTAGAAAGAAGTGAAAAAACAAGGAAGCTCTTCAGGGATTGGGTAGAAAGAAGTAAAAACAAGGAAGCTCTTCAGGGATTGGGTAGAAAGAAGTAAAAACAAGGAAGCTCTTCAGGGATTGGGCAGAAAGCCGGTAGCTGGAAAAACAGAAACTTTTCAGGGATTGGCTAGAAGGAAGTCAGGTGATGCAAGGGAAGCTCTTCAGAGATTGGGTGGAAAAGAGAAGTCAGGTGACTCGCTTTGCATAGGAAGGAGGGTGTTGCTCAGATCAGGGGAAGATGGTGAGTGGGGGCGTGGCTTTATTGCTAAACCGGGGGGAAAGCGGGGTTTTATTTTTAAGGATTAGAGGAGAAAGCCCAGCTTTTTAAAAGAAAAATTGGCGCAAGTGCAGAAGGGTGCAAAGTAGTGCATTTGTCAGTGCAAAATCTCAGTAATTCTAAAATGGGTGGACTTCAATTCCCAGGATTCCTCCAGCCAGCTTGCATTTTAGGGATTGAAGTCCACCTAATGCTGGCTGGAGGAATTCTGGGAGTTGAAATCCATGCATGCTAGATAGAGAATTCTGGGAATTGGAGTCCATGCATGCTGGTTGGAGGAATTTTGGGAGCTGAAGTCCATGCATGCAAGTAGATGGGGGATTCTGGGTGTTGAAGTCCATGCATGCTGGCTGAAAGAATTCTGGGAGTTGAAGTCCACCTAATGCTGGCTGGAGGAATTCTGGGAGTTGAAATCCATGCATGCTAGATAGAGAATTCTGGGAGTTGAAGTTCATGCATGCTGGCTGGAGGAATTCTGGGAGTTGAAGTCCATGCATGCTAGTAGATGGGGGATTCTGGGAGATGAAATCCACCCATCTTAAAGTTGCTGTGGTTGAAAAGTACTCAAACTTTGTTTCTTCCTGCCAGAGGTTTCGATTCTGTGGAGATTTGGACTGTCCTGACTGGGTCTTGGCAGAAATTAGCACTTTGGCTAAAATAGTAAGTGATTTTTTGGGGGCCCTTTGAGTTCCATGAATATTTTAATTATTTTAAGATATGGCGGTATTAGCATTTTATTGCCTACTTTGTAGCTGGATTTGCCCCATTGTAAGATTTTGCCTGACAAACTATCGTTCTCCAAGGGAAGATTTTTAAAAAATCAAGAGGATGGTTATGACACATTTTGGTTTTTTTTTTTCCAGTCTTCGGTGAAACTCAAGCTGATCTGTGCCCAGGTTCTGAAGGATGTGCTTGGAGAGGGCATTGATGTGAGTTCAGCTGCCCCATTCATAATTGTGTTTCCATGGCAATTGAGTGCTTAAATTGGAAGCTCCCAAAAGAAAATTCTGTGATGGATTAAAAAATGTTTTGTTGTTGGGACTCCCCAGTGTTAAGTTTGAGCTGACCCAAGCTAGAAATTGTTCTTTTGTCTCTTGCAGTATGACAAAATTCTGAAATTAACATCAGATGCCAAGTTTGGTGAGTATCCTTCCCTTCTATGTCCAAGGGCTAAGTTAAGATACAGCTAAGCCAATTTCTATCCTGTCACCATTTCTCAACTGAAAATTGAGAATCAGGGTTGCATTGATTTCCTTAGTATTGGCGCTGAAAGCAAATTCGCGCATGGGGTAAGCGCACAAGGTGCTGTACTTCAACTGGTATCTTTTTGCAAGAGGCTTGCAAAATTGGTCATCTCTGAGCAGCTAGCAAAAAATGACAGAGCCCGTAAAGCTATCTCTACCTTACATGTTCATCTTTGAATTCCAAACTACAGAGACCAAGGCTTCTCAACCTTGCCAGCTTTAAGATGTGGTAATGAAACAAACAAAATGTAGTTACTTACCAAGCACATCTAAATTATTATTAAAATAACCAAAACATCTTTACAATCCCCAAGGCATGTCACAACTTTGAGCAGCCCTAATGTTTGGGAATTGAAAGTTGAAAAATGTAACATGCCAGTGGACTTCGACTCCCAGAATTCCCTAGTCAGCCATGACACTGACAAACTATGGTTAATTTCTTTTCCAAATAGGTAAATTTAGAACAAAATGTTTCAGCAAACCTACATACACAGTTCTGGAGCAATTCATGGCCTTGAGCTGATTATAGAGGGGTGTTTTCCCTATTCTAGCAGCAGCTTTAAGATGTGTGGACTTTGACTCCCAGAATTCCCCAGCCAGCATAAGTCATTCGTATCCTTTTCAATAAAACGTGTTGGTCTGAAGACTTGCTTCAGACAACCATTTCCTTTCTTTTTTGCTCTGCAGAATCGGGAGATGTGAAAGCCACTGTCGCTGTCCTTGCCTTCATTCTCTCAAGTGCTGCCAAATACAGCGTGGACTCTGACTCCCTGTCCAGTGAACTTCAACAGCTGGGACTGCCCAAAGGTGATTTTGGAGCTGTTGCTTTTAAAAACATAAAATATTAATGGTTCTTCAGAACTACCTCTAACCGTAAATAAAAACTTAGAGGTTGAAGGAGTACAAATCCGGAGGGAGAAATGAAATTTGGTATATGTTGTATGAAATAGAGGGGGGGGGGGGGGGAGAATCTGAATAACTTTGGAAAATTTGCATTTGTGGGTTTTCATTTCTAACTGGTTGGATTTTTAGAGGAAGGCGGGATTAAGTAAGTTTTGGGCTGGTGGCTTAATTTAGCTGATCTCTTGGTTGTAGAGCATGCCGCAGGATTGTGTCGGTCCTACGAGGAGAAGCAGAGTCTTCTGCAGGACAGCCTGAGGAAGTGCAGCCTGAGATGTAAGTTGAACTCCTTTGCTGGTTCCAAAACGAACGGTCACTTGAGGGAAACTGTCCTCTGCCGCCTTTTCCCAGTCTGGGATGTTTTTGCTTAATTGTGGGAAGATTTCTCATCATCACAAGGGGCTTCACAGATTGATTGGAGAAACATTCTGTAAAATGCCAACAAGGCTGAACCGCCCCGTCAAGGAACACACAAAACTGCTTTTCTTAGACTGGAATATTCAGAGCACTCGGTAGTACAGGTAGTCCTTGATTTATGACTAGGCCCCTAGTGACTGTTTGAGGTTATGACAGACCCTGAAAAGGAGATTTTAACAATTCAGATTCCAAGTTCTGTCACTTAGACCCCCTCTGTGGTCACATGCAACCAGTGATCCTCTGGACAATGACATTAACCCTCTGGAGTGCTTTCCTATTTGCCACTGTGCAATTGGCAAACCATACAGTGGTTCAGTATGTGGTTTCTCCTCCTCCTCCTCCTCTCCTCCTCCTCCTCCTCCTCAGACAAATCACAAATTAAAAAATCATAGTACCAGAATATTTTGAAAGCTGCTGCAGTCTTAAGATTGGGTGAATTCCTTGGCAATGCCCCTGTCGCATTCAAGGGGACCGGTGCCTTGCACAAACCATGGCTGAAAACTTTCAATTCCCTCTGCCTGCAGTGAATTGCCTGGATTCTGTTTCATGGAGAGTGGATTACACGCTTAGTTCCAGCGAGCTCCGGCAGGTCAATGAGCCAGTCGTTCATCTCAAGCTGAACGTGAAAAATGTCGACCAAAAAGTGACAGAGCCTGTGGCGATGACATTGTCAGCCGAAAAGTTTCGCGTCTTACTTGCTGGTGAGGAGTTAAACATTTCTACAGCTTGGAGAGGGCCAGGGGCTGCTGGTTTCTGTCAGAACCTTATTTATAGCTCTATTTAAAGAGGCAAAACGTTCCCATTCCTCGTGTAAAACCTCCAAAGGCTACAGGCATGTATCCCTCACCTTTCCATCAGCCTCTTTCTAGCCACCGAAATGGGCATCACTTTGCAGAGGAAACAGAAGCCAGAAGTCAAGGCTGCTTGATCACACAGTGTGGGAAAAATATTATACTTTAAAAAAAAAGGAAACAAACATGACAATGTGTTTGTCAACTAAAAAATACTTCTTTGGTCTTTTTAGTTGCCAGCAGAAAGGCAGTGGGGAAAGTAGGGCATTCCTTAAATGCTTCAGATAATTGCAAGGCAGCCGAAGCTGTTGGCGCGCAAGATTATTATTGGAGGGCATGATTGATGTCTCTTGGCTATGGATGTGTCCCATTGGAGAATATACATCCAGGGGTTGGGGGGAAGACCAAGGTCAAGGGGGAAATGAATGATGTATTTTAGTGTCGGCTGCACCCAGCTAATGCCAACATGGTCACTCCTAATAAATCTTTTTTTTTTTAACTCAGAGAGATGTGGCTAGAGATTTATGATTTGAATGGAGGTGTATTGTCAGAGCCCCGACAGTGTTCTTTAATAGTCTGAACAGGGAGGCAGCAAAATTTTGACAAAAACTGTTCAGATGCTCCATTTTAGTGGCAGAGATATCCCTGTCCCCGGCCTTGGTCTGTTTAACGTCATTCCTGACAGGACATAGAACAAAACCTTTGAAATTAGGAATTTCATGGCAGCAAAGGCAAAATTTATTTATCAAATTTCTGTGTTGTATCTGGGTGATTCTGGATGACTTCTGGGGGCTCTTTGGCCACTTTTCATTAGGATCCTTCTTTTTTTAACCCCCTATTTTCCCTCCTCAGAACTAAAACAGGCTCAAGCCATCATGAAAACGCTCGAGTAAGGAGCCCCGGATGCTAACCAGGACTAGTCAGAAGGAAGGAAGATTCATTTTGACTACAGGCCAAAATGTCTCCACTGAATAATGATCTTCCAGCTTATGAGATACAAGCAAAGCAGCCAGATGGGATTAATGTCCATTTCCCAGTAGGCCAGACCAGCAAAACCAGTGGGAAAGGTCTGGGGTGTGGTAATATAGGGACATGTCTCCGTCACAAACGTCCAACCTCTGCCTTAAGAGAAGTCTATCTGTTTTTATGTTTGTTTGTTTTTTCACTTGAGCATCAGTTTTCAAGTCAAGCGTAACACAGGTTTTGCTCTAACTGCGCTATGTCAAAAATATGAAAACGTTCCCTTGTTTTTATTTCCCCTTGTATTTTGTTGAACGGAAGAAAATTAAATCCCACCTATGTGGCAAAAGCTATCTTTGTCCAGTCTGTGTATTGGGCAAGGCTGGTGGCCTCATTGCTTTGGGCTGGAAGTGAAATTAAAAAACAGTTTGATGTTCGTTTGTTTGTTTCAGGATTTGAGTCCCGAGCTAGGCACATAAGCAAATTTGTCAAAATTGGTTATTTCTCCACCTTAGCAACTTTTAAGGTGTGTCAACTTCAACTCCCAGAATTCTCCAGCCAGGAGTTGAATGCACACATCCTGGCTAGGGAGTTCTGGGGATTGAAGTTCACACATCTTAAAAGATGCTGTGGTTGAGGGGGAAAAAATGCTGGTTTAAATGAAATGCCATCATACTTTTGTTCAAGCCAATCACTTTCTGGCTTAATAGTGTAAAACGTTTGAACAAGGACCAGAGAATTTCAGGTTCAATTACTTCCATACCTCCAGAAACTTAACTACACCTGTAAGTTCTAGATAGTTGCTTCACAGCCCAGCCTACCTTACTGGGTTGTTGTTGGGAGGGGGGGGGAGGGAAGGCTGAAGGAAGCTTCTTTGATTTCCTGCCTGAAAAGATAATTGTATATCAAAAAATGAGTAAGTTTAAATGGACATTTGATTTGCTTAGTCATAAAGGCAGTACACTCACCTCTATCACACGCAGTTTTGACACCAATATCAACCCTGGGAATCTCAGGACGAGCCTGCAAAATGGTTTTATGTGTTTAAATTATGTTTGTTCTATTGTTGGGGTTTTTTTTCCTCTTTTTTATATATATATATATATTGTTACTGGTGTTTGTTTATGATTATTTCTCCTGTCATCTTGAAGTTCTTTCAGAGTTTATTTGGTTTGTTTAGCATTATGATAATAGTTTGAATTGTTACTAGGCTTGCCAGTCACCCAGATTCTAATAAAGGTGAATATTTGCAACTCAGGGTTGAATGTGGGGTCTTTGGTACTCTCTAAGCTTAGTTTCTTGCAGACATTTCATGACCCATCTTGGTAACATCACCAGTGCTACAAGAGAGTAGGGCTTGTTGACAGGAGGAGGAAGACTGTGGGGTCTTTGGTACTCTCTGAGCGTTGTTTTCTTGCAGACATTTCATGACCCAGCTAGGTAATATCATCAGTGATGCTAAACCTGAGTCTCTTGGTTAGAAGAACCGCTCTACAATACTATAAATTAATCTGTCGGAAAGAAATACCATTGCTTTAAACCATCTTTGCCAAATCCACGCAAGAAGGTCGCTGCCCGATGCCTCCCCTCCCCTCGTTGCAAGGATTCACGACTCCCGCCCGTTGCACACACAAAAAAGTCCCAGGTTTGCAATTTGCTGCGCTGGGCTCTTATCCCAGAAGCTTGGATGTGCCTTCCTCGGAAACTACAGCTCCCAAGATGCTCAGAGGCTCCTCTCAGCCAATGGGAGCAGAGGAGAGGCGGTTCCCCTGCGTTAACCCTTCGCTGGCCGGAGCTGAGGACGGCGGACAGTGGTAGGGAGCTCGTGGCTTTTGGGCAACTGCAACAGCAACCAATTGAAGTAGTAAGCAGACCGTGGCTGGCAGCACTGCGTGGTACCCTTTCTCTGCCCTTGGCTTTTGCCAATCCCACGTTTTGGGGTTCAGGTGCGCTCTACCTGCAGAGGTGGATTTGGGAACAATTTCCTCAAATCAGAATATATAGGTAGTATTCATTACTATGTTTATACTTATATCTATTATCTTCTAATCGCTTGACAAAATAAAGTAAATAAAATAAACAAGGAAAAGGCTGACTCTTCAATCAGCCAACGGTAGTATTGTAGCTGTGTTTTAGCCTAGAACTTAAGTTTTAAGGTTTTTTGTTCATAGAATCCCTTCCTGCAGGAAAATTCCCCTCCCTGTTTTCCTACCGAAAATGTCCTCATAATTTTAAATGTTAAATGGATGTTTTATTTGTGCCAACTGAGTTTATTGATACTGAGTAATAAAGAAACAAACAATGAAAGATTGTTTGCATTGATCGACTGCATTGTGTAAAGGGACCCATGCAATACGAACATAAGTGAAAGAAGCGTGGTGAAAAACTAGGTGTTTTTTTTAATTAAAATACATGTCCTGAAAAAAAACCCTGTACAGGATTTTTGTAACAAATTAATAATGATGAGAAGGAAAATGTTTTTTACATGTTGGCAAATATCCTCCGTAGCTTGGAAATGGTTTTGATTTTGCAGACTCTTGAAGGCGGTGCGGGGTGGGCTTGGGTGCGGTGAGAGGATTTTCAGGGGTCTTCAGAGCAGGTTGGATGAGAAAGAAGTTGGTGGGTTACACTGCCCCCCTCTTCCCTTTCTCATTTTCAAGAAAGCAACAGGGTAAAAACAAGATTATGTAAACGGTTCAATCATGACTCATTGCAACACACCTGTTGATCTTTTTGTAAGTGGTTTTACCTGCCCTCAGGTCGTCTTCTTTTTCCCCCACCCTTCTTTTTTTTCCTGTTTTTTTTCAAGGATGCCTGAGGGCCCGGAGCTCTTTCAGGCCTCCAGATACATCAACACAGAATGTGCAGGAATTACCTTTACAGGGAAGGTGGAAAAATCCGAAGTCAGCAAGAATCCGGAGGTGCCCTTTGAGAGCGATGCGTACCGGATCTCGGCTGTCTCCCGGGGCAAAGAACTGAAGCTGACTCTGACCCCTCTCCAACGGGAGGACTCGAAAGGGCGACCTATGGACCTGGTGTTCCGTTTTGGCATGACTGGGAATTTCAAACTGGTCCCGGTTTCCGACATGCCCAAACATGCCCACCTGCGTTTTTACACCCAAGAGAAGCCAGCCCGGGTTCTCTGCTACGTGGACATCCGGCGTTTTGGCAAGTGGGAGGTGGACGGCACCTGGCAAGCAGACCGAGGGCCTTGCGTGATGTTGGAGTATGAACAGTTTCGGTGAGGGGCAGTTGGTGGGATTCAAAAAAAAATTTTTTTTTTTTACTACCGGTTTACTACTGGGTGTGGTTTGGTGGGTGTGGCAGGGGAAGGTTACTGCAAAACCCCCATTCTTTCCCCCCACCCCACTAACCTGCTTTCCAGCTCCGTTCTCCTGGGCAGGGCAACAAAAGGAGAGACAGCCAATCAGCTGGGACTCGGGAGGCGGAGAAGAGATGGGGGCGGGGCCAGTCAGGAGGTGGGATTTGCCAGTTCTCCCAACTACTCAAAATTTCCGCTACTGGTTCTCCAGAACCAGTCAGAGCCTGCTGAATACCACCTCTGAGGAGGGGGCTGCCTTCCAACCCACTTGCCTTCTTACCCAAGGCCTGTTTTTTTTTTTTAATGTATATTTTGACCACTTGATGTCCTTGAGGTTAAAAATGGTTCCCCCACACCCCCACCAAAGAATCGGCATAGCGGGAAGGAAATCTTGTGCTTGGTCCTTAAGGGATGGAACACAACTCCCATCATCCACCAGCTAAGGGCTGGAGGGACAGGGATTGCAACACAAAAGATTTGGAAGCAGGCAGATTGGAGAAGGTTGCGGGTGATGTGGGATTATCTCTTACAATCCCAAGCCTGGGATTTATCGCTATCAAGTCCACTGGCTTTAAACTTGCCAAGTTTGAAAAACACTGGAGATAGAAAACAGGAGGAGGAAGACACTCATAATACAGTAAGCATCTATCACGGATGACGTTACCTAGTTTGGATAATGAAATATCTGCAAGAAAACAAACGAGCTCCGAGAGCACCAAGGATTCCGTAGTCGTCCTCCTCCTCCTCTTCCTCCTCCTCCTCTCTTCTTTCTAGCCCTGATAATGTTACCTAGCTGGGTAATGAAACATCTACAAGACAACGACCGAGCTCAGAGAGCACAAGAACCTCACAGTCCTCTTCCTCCCTCCTCCTCCTCCTCCACACTACAAATCCCACTCCCTTGTCGCACTGATGATATTACCTAGTGGGGTAATGAAACGACTGCAAGAAAACAAACAAGTCCTCCTTCTCCTCCTCTTCCTCCCTCCTCCTCCTCCACACTACAAATCCCACTCCCTCGTAGCACTGATGATATTACCTAGTTGGATAATGAAATATTACCCAAGGACTCCAAGGAGCCATTATGTCAACCCAGAGCTCTAGATATTCTCTTTTATTGGCACGCCAAATAACTCCACTTTTATTTAGTAGAGCGTGGGCAGGAAGAAACTTGGAGATGCTTTCAAGGTTGTGTTGTTATAACCTACGACAATACAGGATCGTTTCTGGAATGTCTGTTCGTTGACCGGCCTACCTCAAAGGATTATCTCATCTTGAAATTTTGTCCAGGTTTCTCTTTCTTACACTAAACGAAATCAAGGTGACATTTTGGGTGTTCTTATCACTCTGCTTTCACTCTGGTTGCTCATTTTCCAACTAACATCTTGTATTAAAAGGTTATACATTTTTCAACTAACGTGTTATATAAAAACTCTTGAAAGCTTCTGCTTTGTAGTCAAATTAGTTGGAAAAGGTACTTACCAGAATCTTTCTTTCTTTTTCTTTTTTTTTGCTAGCCTTGACTAACGCTATCCTAACAGCGCCTTTGGTCTCTGGATGGCATAATCTCTTCTCCAAGTTCCTCCTTCATGGCTCTTTCGTGTCTTTTCCCGCAAGGGCATCTCTCAATTCCTTCACAGAATCCCAAATATTCCCGGCTAACAAATCGTGACTTGTTTTCCAGGGACAATGTCCTGAGGAATCTCTCCGACAAGGCCTTCGATAAGCCCATCTGCGAGGCTCTGCTCAACCAAAAGTTTTTCAATGGCATTGGCAACTACCTCCGGGCTGAGATTCTTCACCGGTGAGTCTGAAAACTAGTTGGTGGTTTGCTGCTGGAAAGCAGAGGGAACTTTGTGGTCCTGTGTTGGTGAATCCAGAAGACCTTTTTGGACTCCATCTGGAGAAAACAACTTGGAAGTTGTGTTAGTGAAGGCTTGCAGATTGATGACAGGGACAACAGCATCTGGATTGCAAGCTGGAAACTGTTCCATGTACTTCTGGAGTAGGATGCTTGTCCGGATCTGGACCTACAGGCAGTATATGCCATGGGGTCCTTGGTGCCCTCTGAGCTTGGTTGTTTTCTTGCAGACGTTTCATTACTCAACTAGGTAACCTTATCAGTGCTAGAAAGGAGTGGAGTTTGTGGAGAGAAGAAGGAGGACTGTGGGGTCCTTGGTGCTCTCTGAGCTTGGTTGTTTTCTTGAAGACGTTTCATTACCCAACTAGGTAATGCAATTATCCAGCCTGCAAACTAACATGGTGATTAGAATGCGGTATTTGCAGGCTAACTCTGCTGACTGCCGACTGCCAGCAGTTTGAATCTCACCAGGCTCAAGGTTGACTCAGCCTTCCATCCTTCCAAAGTTGGTCAAATGAGGACTCAGATTGTTGGTGGGGGGGGCAAAAGGCTAGCTCCGTAAACCGCTTAGAGAGGGGCTGGAAAGCCCCGTGAAGCCGTATGTAAGTCTAAGCGCTAATGCTATCCTTAGTTTTCATGAGAGTAAAAGTAAGGAACGGGAGAGGAACTTCCAAACTTGCAAGAAGGACCTTTTGAGGTAGTACAGACAAGAAGCGCCCGCCATGACGGTTAACACCCTCTGAGCATTGAGCCATCTTTTCTCTGACTTCTTCCAGATCAAAAATCCCTCCCTTTGAGAAGGCACGGACCGTTCTGGAAGAACTCCAGCGGGGGCTTCAGGTAAGAGGCCCAAAGGCTAGAGCGGTGCACTTTCAAGATCTTAACCAGTTGAAGGCGCTTAAGCGAATCAGTATGGCCATTCAGCGAATCCAGCTTTCTCGGTTGACTTTGCTGGTTGGACGCTGGCGGAGGAGGTTCCAGATGGTGATCCCGAGATGCAGCACTCAAATGGCAGTCACATGTCTACGGGGATGGTGTGCCGGTCGTAAGCGGGAGGAGCAGTCATAAGTCACTTTTTTCAGCGCCGTCCTAACTTTGAACAATCATTAAACCCATGGTCATCAGTCAAGGGCTATGTGTACACAGTTTTACTCAAAGAAAAAAGGCATTGTGATGACCCAAAGGGGCGTGGCACAAAGGCAACACAGTCAGATAATCAGTGAGTCCCTTTATTATCTCCAACTTTGCCTCCCAATGTCCTGGTTACCTTCTGACTGGAGAAAAACTCTCCCAGGAACAGTCTTTGGCTGCAGAAAAAATTCAGTCCAAAACAAGGTACACACAAACTGTAACTTAAAATCCAAACAAACCGAGCTGAAGTAATTAGTTTGGCAGGGCAGGAGCAAGAATTTCAGACTTGAAAGCACGGCAAAACTCACATAGTTGGGAAGACGCCAGGAACACAGATAAGCCATGACAATACAAGATAAAGTCACCTTTGCTCCCAACAGCCTGCCTGTCTTATCAATTTTGTTCCCAGCTGCAGCTAATGAAGGGAATCAGGGCCCTTTCCTCCCCGTAAGCCAAGCAACTCATGTTGCTCCCTTCTCTGTTCCTCCCTGCCTGCCCTAGGATGAAGAGGGGGTGGGCCTGGTCTTCCTCCAAATTTCCTCTCCCTTGTTCTACCTCTCCCCTGCTCTGCCCAGCTGGACTTTGCCCTTCCCCAGTTTCCTCCACAGCCAACGGAGCCACACTCCCGCTGCCTGTCAGCTGTTCAGCTTCCTTAGATTCAGACACTGATAGGGGCATGAGAGATATTGGATCAGAATCCCTTGTTTTGCCTGTTTAGAAAGATTTCCATTCATCTGACTTCCTGTCTCCACGTTTCAGGTTTCTGGTGCAACCTTGAGCAAGAAAGTAAAATTGAAACGAGAGAATCCCGACTTCCTGGAGGCCTGTCACCTGGTGCCCATGGAGGCTGTGAATCTAGGTGAGCACTTGGTCAGGCCCACAAAGGATCCCAGAACACTGTAGCCATCATAAATGCAAACCAGTTTATGATATGAATTTTGATCACATGACCAAGGGGATGCTCCAAAGGTCCCACCTGTGAAAAATTGCCCTTTTTTTTCAGTGCTGTAGTAACTTTGAACGGTCACTAAACAAAGTGGTGAGGACTTCTGTTCTGACCAAGGCTTTCTGAGATGGTAACAATCACATGCTGTTCCCAAAAACCTTTTCTGTTTTATTTCAACAGCTGTGAATTATATGCATTCACAGCCCGTAATGAGTCCCACACAGTCTGTGAATAGTCCAACGAAAGTCAGCCACAGTCTTTCAGGGTAAGGCTGATAAGCACCCACCTTTATCTCCCTTGAAATGCTGCCAATGACTACATCGCCCATTAGCTGTACAGTGCCAAAAGGAGCACAAAGTCAACACGGAGCTTCAGAGTTTAAACCGGTCAGAATGAACGAAGTTGCTTCCTGCAAAGGCTCATGTCCCTTTGCTCCTCCTTGATGTCTTATGAGAGGGGCCAATCATCTCCAAGCCTTACTCCCAAGTCGCCCCTTTTGTCTTAACTGTTCTTGCCTTCTGGCAGCTCTGTGCAAGTGCACACTGGGAACAGGCTCCCCCTGTTCCTCTGCCTCGCTGATGTCAAATTCTGGCAGCTCCAGAGTCAGCATATAACTCAGATGGCCCTTGCCCCATTGCAGATCCCTCGTCCGAGCCCTCCTCAGATTCCTGGACTGACCCATGTTCCTCCCCACTGTCCGACTCTACTGCCAGCTCCGCAGGCCACCAGCAGAGCACAACGGACCTGGATTTATGTCTTGGTTTGTCTTCACCTAGGAGGTGGCAAGGCGTATGACCCCACCAACCGAGAGGATGCTGCAATCTTTGTAGAGTGGCTGCACTGTTACTCTGTTCCCGGGATGAAATCCCTGCGTGATGCTAACGGCAGGACCATCTGGTTCCAGGTAAGGGATACTGTCATGACCCTGTTGGAATCTGATTCTGAGTATAGCAAATCTGGCCTAACTCTATGCCAATTATTATTTTTGAATTATTTTTCTTCCATGTAGGGAGACCCAGGACCTCTGGCTCCAAAAGGTGAGTTCCATTTTTACATTTCCAGGAGTTTGAGGAAAATAGAAAATGAGAAAGTGGGTTTTTTCCCTAAATCACTATACAGCCAGCATGTAGGTTGGCATCAAAGATAGGATCTTAGTCTCAAGCAACTTCTACTTGTAGCCAGAAGATCTCAGATTCGACTGCCAGTTTTTCTGGTTAAAGGATCCAGAGATTGAAATTCCCAGCTGGAAAACAGAAAAACTAAAACTAGAAATATGACTCTGACTAAGAAGTCACCTTCTCTGTTCCTATATCATAGAATATAGATTAGTTTAGTTTACTTTATTTATTAGCCCTTTGGCCATATCAAAGTGCAGACACAAATTATTACTAAAATCTGATAAAAAAACAGTTTAAAATGGAATTGGAATGAAATACAGTTTAAAATGAACTTGGAGTAAAATACGATTTAAAATGAAATTGGATTGAAATACAGTTTAAAGTGAAATTGGAATAAAATATGATTTAAAATTAAATTGGAATGAAGTACAGTTTAAAATGAAATTGGAATAAATTACAGTTTAAAATGAAAGTGGAAT